GGGGGAGGTCCAGCACCGATCCAACACAAATCTGCGCGGACGTCGGGAAGTGCACGCGTGCGCCGACGTCTCCTTCCCCGCCAGCGCTCGGGCGCCCCTTCCCCGTGCCTGCTCGTCGGAGTCTCGTGCGTGCGTATTGTTTCCCAAGATGGCCCTGCAGTGCTCCTCGATGGTCCTCGCCGAGAAAGACTGCACCCGTCCGAGCGATGCCAAGTTTAGGTCGGGCATGTCCCCATGCAGGCAGATTCTGGACGACACTTCAAAAAGGAGCCCAACCATGCCCAAGAACATGCCCTACAATAGTAGTAAAATCGTCCCCTGACTATTGGTCGACTGTTTTCGAATAGTATTCCTCCTGTAGAGGGGCAGTGCTCCTCGCCGAGGAAAAATGCAGAAACAAAGATGCAAGACAATGCGTAAAAAAGTGCTTCTCGCCGAGGAACAGTTCAGACAAGCAAATACAGGAAACATGCAAATTACCCTGGCGACGTACCCAACCCCTGCGCAAAAGCGGGGCGCAAATAGTTTAGGATACTTTATAAAGGGGGCGATGACGGAGCGAGGGTACATATGTCTGCAGACGGAATTCGGGAGACTCGCAGGACACTGGCTACAGGAAAAGGGCTTGATAAAGCTGATGATTTACAATTCCTGAGCACTCCTAGCCACTTCGAAAACGGGGATCACAGCAGGCCTCGAAAGTGGCGACAGGTTCACAGATCGCAGCCCCGCAGGGACGGCGAGGTCTCATTTGAATCTGCCCGTGGCCCTCACTGTGCTGGGCCCCCCAGCAGGCCTCGAAAATGGCGGCAGTTTCGCAGATCGCAGCCCCCCAGGGATGGCGAGGTCTAATTTGAATCCGCGCGTGGCCCTCACTGTGCTGGGCCCCCCAGCAGGCCTCGAAAGTGGCGACAGTTTCACAGATCGCAGCCCCCCAGGGAGGGCGAGGTCTAATTTGGATCTGCCGCGATTACCCTCTATGCTGGACCCCCCAGCAGGCCTCGAAAGTGGCGACAGTTTCACAGATCGCAGCCCCCCCCCCCCAGGGATGGCGAGGTCTAATTTGAATCTGCCGCGATTACCCTCTATGCTGAGCCCCCCAGCAGGCCTCGAAAGTGGCGACAGTTTCACAGATCGCAGCCCCCCAGGAATGGCGAGGTCTAATTTGGATCTGCCGCGATTACCCTCTATGCTGGACCCCCCAGCAGGCCTCGAAACTGGCGACAGTTTCACAGCCCCCCGCAGGCAAGACAGAAAGAGGCAGGAAAGAGGCGGGAGGCGGGAGGAGGAAGGACGCGACCACACTGCTCTATTCAAAACGAATGCCCAACCAAGGAGGGTTGGGAAAAACAGAAACGTGCTCCTCGCAGAGAGAAAAGGACATGATCCTCGCCGAAAGAAAAAGCACTCTTTCCGAGCGACGCCAAGCTATTGTCACCCAAGCTATGCCAACTTCCGAAAAGTAGAAAAACGTCCCCACACTATGTCATGACTGTGTTTGAATAGTAGTCCTCCTGCCGAAGGACGCGCCCGACTTAATGCCAAGCTATTCGCGCCCCTGCCGAGAGTGCTCCTCGCCGAGAAGAATTGCAAACAAACAAATACAAAACAAAACATAACGAAAAGAGCTCCTCTCCGAGAAAAACGTGCAGGACACACACATGCACAACACATGCAACAAAAGACAGGTGCTCCTCGCCGAGAAAGAAGTGCAGAACAAGTATGAGAAAAGCAAAAAGACTAAACATGCTCCTCGCCGAGAAAAAATGCAGAAGCATAATACAGAAAAAAAAAACATGCCTCCCGCCCAGAAAAAATACTCACTTCCCAGACCCCCGACGTCATGATTTGTTCATGACGTCGACCCCAAGAGGTCTCGACCTGTTCCCCGGGACCAGTTTTTCATACTGAATCGTTTTTTGACAGTCCCGCAGCCCGGGAAGGGCCCCCAGAGGCCGAAAGTGGCGCGCAAAACCTCCCGTCGTGATTTTTTCTTTGCTCGCGGGGGTCTGGGTTCCGAGTGATGCCCAAGCTATTCGTTGAGCAGGGACCGACCGTGCCGGCGTTCCGATACTCCTACCACGAAATGTTCTTAGAGCCCACAGATGTGACAATAACAAAAACAGTGTCCTTCAAACAGAAGCCTCATGCGTTAGAACGAGACAGACTCCCAGCCAGAACTGTTCTAAGACCATCTCGTGGAAACCACAGCAGGTTCTTAGAACATCGCTTGGTAGGGCCATAGGCAGGCTGGGACGCTTCGCCACTGCCTTCAAGTCGGGCCTGTCCCCCTACAGGGGGATTTTCGACGAACAAATAAAAATACCTAAAAAAATGCTCCAAAAAGGTCCACAAATACCCAAAACATAGTCCCCAGACTATTTTTGGTCTATTTGTTTTGATTATCTTCGGGGTATCTTGTATTATTCGTCGAACATCCCCCTGTATGAGGAGGCCCGACTTAACACTGCCTGATATTCGCGCCCAAGGACGGCGGCCGCCCCTGCTGCGCCGGGGCGCCGGCCGCGCCGCGGTGGCGCGGCCGCTCGCCCTCGGCGGCGCCGCCCGAGGGCGCCGCGTCGCCCGCGGCGGCCTGCGCGGCGGGCCGCGGCGGCTCCGCGCCGAGCGCCGCGGGCGCCTCGGGCGCCGCCACGGCCACGGTCTCGGCCACGGCCGCCTTTCGACAGCTGGGCTAACCAGCCTCGAACGTATCCCTATCCCTAAGATGGGCGAGCAAAAAGCGAGGACAATCTTAGGGATAGGCCCTCAGAAACTGAGGGAATCCTTAAGATCGGCATCGGGGTGAGGTGATGTCAAACATAGGGATAGGGAGATGTCTCAAACTGGTACTGGGCGAGGGCTGGCAAAGCCGTGGCTGCTAAAAACGGTCCTGCCGGAAGAGAAGAACGAATTCCTGGAAGCAAGCTCCGCGCACGAAATAGTGAACGGGCTGCTGCCCGGAAAGAAAAAAACAACATCCCGGAGCTCCGTTTTAGCAGCCACGGGATTGCCGGCCGTCGCTCGGCTTCTGAGCCTTGCAGAGGAGTACACCCAGACCCCCTCGAGTAGTGGAAACATCATGGCGAGAGGTGCTTCGCACCATCTTCGTGCTCTGGGGGCTCTCACCGGGCCACGGGGCCGTCAGAAAACGGCTCGGGATGAAAGACCAGGTCTGGGGAATGGGTTCAGACCTCGGGAGCCGCCGTTATGAGGAGGAAAACAGAGAGTCATGGGGAAGAGGTACCCATACCTCCACCCCCCTTTCCCTTGTTTTGTCCCCTTTGTGGGCCACCTGGGAGGCCCTCGTCGCCACCGCGGGATTCGCCTCGAGGCCCTGGTCAGAACGCACCCCAGGAGAGGTCTGGGGGAGTAGCGGTATCGGTACCTTTCGGTCTCCCCAAAACAGGGCTGGTCCCAAGCGTTGTTTTCCGTTTCGTTTTCGTTTTATGTTTATCGTTCTGCTCTACCTCTTTTCCTGTGCACCTCCCTGCCAAGACGAAACACAAAACATAGCTGAACTCCAGCAACACAGCGTTTGAGCCCAGCCCTGGAGGAAAAGGTACTGGAGGCCTCATAGATAGGGTCCGAATAGGTGGGGTCGGAAGATGGGCCGGCATCACCAATGCATCGGCGGTGCATCGCCGATGCATCGGCGATTCGCTGGCGATGCATCGCTGGACCTAAACGTTGTTTTCCGTCTTGTTCTCGTCTTGCTTTTCGTTTTGCTCTGTCTGCTTTCCTGTGCCTGCCTGCCAAGACGACAAACAAAACACAGCCGAAGTCCAGCAAAACAGCTTCTGGGCCCAGCCCTGGAGGAAATGGTACTGGAAGCCTCCTAGATGGGGTCCGGGCTTTGTGGGCCCCGGAAACGGTAAGGCCGTTTTTTCACCGTTTCCGAAAAAAAGTGCCCCTTGAAAACGGAAACAACAAAAAAACGGCGACCCGAAACGGCAACAAAAACGGCTCCAGGATTGGAGCCGGAGCCGGAACCGGTCGAAAAACGGCGACGGAACCGGTAACAGAAACGGCGTCGGAACCGGTGACAAAAACAGCAAAACGGAACCGGCGAAAAATCGGCCCTGTCGTTTCCAGGGCCCACTGAGCGCTGGACCCCCCCTCCCTGGCGCGCGGAGCGCGCAATGGGGCGGCGCGGGAGGCGCCGCCAGGGGGGGGTCCAGCGCGGACCTCCGAGAACTCCGCGCGGAACCGGCGAAAAAACGGCAAAACGGAACCGGTAAAAAAACGGCCCTGTCGTTTCCAGGGCCCACTGAGGGTCCGAGCACACCGCCGAGGCGTTGGCGGTGCGGCGCCATCTTCCGACCCCATGTGCTCGGACCCTCAGTGGGCCCTGGAAACGACAAGGCCGTTTTTTTTTACCGGTTCCGTTTTGCCTTTTTTTTGCCGGTTCCGACGCCATTTTTTTACTGGTTCCGTCGCCGTTTTTTGACCGGTTCCGGCTCCAGTTCCAATATGTTAGCCTTTCTTTTGCCGTTTCAGGTCGCCATTTTTTTGCAGTTTCCATTTTCAAGGGACATTTTTTGGAAACGGTGAAAAACGGCCCTGCCGATTCCGGGGCCCACAAAGGTCCAGCGCCTATCCCAGAAGACCGCTCGGACCTCCGAGTTGTCATGTTTATGCCAGCCTTCGCTCCCCTGCCAGGGTACCCATACCTGCTCCCTCGCCTCGGTTGCTCCTTTTTTGGGCCTCCTTGGCCTCCCTCGTCGCCACCAGGCCACCTGGGCCTCCCTGGGCCTCCCTGTGCCTCCTGGGCCTCCTGGGCCTCCCTGGGCCTCCTGGGTTTTTTGAAGCTTTTTTGAGCCTCCTGGGCCTCCTGGGCCTCCTGGGCTTTTGTTGGGCCTCCTGGGCCTCCCTCGTCCCTCGTCGCCTCCTGGGCCTCCTGGGCCTCCTTTCTGGGGCCTCCCGGGCCCCAAGAGCCCGGCCGAGACGCGCCCCGGGAGGGGGTCCGGGGAGCAGAGCTACGTCGGCATCTCTCCCCCGGCCTTGACGGTCTCGCCCACCACCGCCGCCGCCGCCGCCGTGTCCGAGACGCGCTCTCGGACGGCCGTCGTCGTGTCGGCGACGCGGTCCTTGACGTCCTCGGCGAGCCTCAGTATCTCGTCCTCCATGGGCATGGGCACGTCCTCCATGAGCCACTCCTTGCCCTTCTCGGCATGCTTCAGCGCGGACTTGAGCAGCGAGTCCATGCTGTCGCGTCAGCGCACCGAAGGGTGTCGGATGCAGGGAGGCGCGCCCTTCCGGCGAAGACGGCTGCAGAAACTGCCAGACATCGATTGCAGCAGGGGTGCTGATGATCATGATGAACCGGTGCGGCATTCGCAGATGCAAGTGTCGCTTCGAGGTCGCCTGCAGAAACTACGACGATCGCGCAGTATCCACTCTGACGAGCAACGTCGTGGGGCGTGGAAGAGGGCAGCCCGCAGATGTTCTTCCCTACTCCCTCCTGTCTCGTGCCTCCCTCGTCATTCCCTTCCCTCTCGTCGTCATCCGCGTCGCCATCGTTCCGATCCAGAGACGAAGCGTATTGTATAGCACCGAGAACCAGGACACTATCTCACCGCCACCGCCATAAGTCCAAAAGCGAAGCGCAAGTGACAAGCGGCCAGGGTGAACTGGGCGGGAGTGATCCCTAGTGAGGACGGCCTCGGCTGCCTCGTTTCATGCGTCTTCTTCCGATGCTTGTGTCGGTGTGCCCCCTCGGGCTCGGACAAGAAACTCTCCCAAGGGATCGCGCAAGGATGGGAGGGGGTAAACGACGAGTCGGACCACAAAGGGGAAGGGAGGGGCAACATGGGAGGGGAGACGGGAGACAGATTGGGTGGGGAAGTAAGGGGGAGGGGACGGTCAGCACTGGGGTTGTGGGCGGGGGAGGAGCGTCCACACTGGGAGGGGAGAAGGATGGGAGGCGAGGAGGGAGGGAGAGCGTGAAAATGGGGGGAGGGGCGGGGGAGGGGGAGGGGGAAGAGAAAGAGCAGAGGAGCGGAGGGAGGAGGTACGCGCTGCCAGGGCTTCCCGGTGCGGGATACAAACCACCCTGGGTGCACGCTGGCCGTCGACACACTGGTCTCAGCAAGACATCGCCGGCCGTCCCAGGGCACCCCTGGGGGCCAGCCAGCGGAACAGCACCGTCCGCGTCGGCAGCAGTGGTCCGAGCAGGCAATGAGAACGAGGACGCGGCGCAAAAGACGGCCCTGACCACAAAGAGAAAGAGGAGGAGGAGGAGGAGGAGGAGGAGGAGGCGGAGGAGGAGGAGGAGGAGGACCTGGGGGACCGTTTCCAGAGGGGGGGAACCTTCCTCCTCCTCCTCCTCCTCGTCCTCCTCCTCCTCCTCTTGGAAAAGGCGTCATCCTTCGAGGGATCGGGCCATGGACTGCTCTCCCTCGGTTTGAAAAGGGACCCGCATGGCTTCCCGCATGGTCTCCCGTGTGCCAAACCGTGGTGCCTCGCGTATGCAAAGAATCGCATAATGCTCTCTTGAGTGCGTCATTGTCCGCCCCCCCCATCCTCTCTTCCCTCCTCCCTGCCCGGCCATCCCTCCCTGCCCTCTCCCCTCCCTCCCTCCTCCCCCCCTCCTGCCCCTCTCCTGCCTCCTCCTCCTCCTCCTCCTCCTCCGCCTCCTCCTCTTCCTCCTCCTCTTCCTCCTCCTCCTGTTCCGCCGCCAGGGTGGAATTTGGATCCAAGGTTTCTGGGACGAGCCAGCCAGCAGGGTCACAGAGCGAAAGTGGCCCCAGAACCCCGGTGGGGTCACTGAGCCGTCGGGGAGAAGAGGAAAAAAAAACTATTTGGCGGGGTCCTCGGAAGCAGGCCAGCCTGATGCTGTCCTCCACTGTAGTGATTTCTCGGGGTTCACCTGTGGTTTTCCTCTTCCCTCCCAAGAACACAGGACTGGATGAGTCTTGGCCCAGGCCCATGGCCATGTGCAGGACCCCCCTGAAGCGACGTGCTAAACCTGACCTGAGGTTTGGCGGCGCACACAAGGGGGTAGGAGGAGAGGGGAAGGCTCCTTCGAAAGAGCCTGCTGCTCAGAAGGCACCAGCCCTGCATCTACAGACAAGGCCCGCGCCTTCTGAGGAGCAAGGTGCTTCTAAGAAGCCTTCGACCCGCCAACTATCTACCCTTGGGTCGGGCATGCCCTCCTGCAGGCGGATTTCGGAAGGACCATCAAACATAACCAAGCAATGATCAAACATGTTTTGCGTCGGCGGCGGCTCGGCAGAGGGTGACTGCGCTGGCGATGAATGGCAGGAACGGGGGTACCGTTGGGCCGCATTGTGCCACCATGTAACACGAGGATGCAGGAGGGACTCTGCTCAACCAAACTCGAGCAGTCCCCCTGGAGAGGGACATGCCCGACGTAACACCACCCCCTTCAGGAGCAAGAGGAGGAGGAGGAGGAGGAGGAGGAGGAGGAGGAGGAGGAGGGAGGAGGAGGACAGAGAGAGGAGGAGGGCAGGAGGAGGAGGCAGAGGACAGAGGAGGAGGAGGAGGAGGACAGAGGAGGAGGAGAGGAGGAGGAAAGAGGAGGAGGAGGAGGAGGAGGAGGAGGAGGACAGATGAGGAGGAGGCGGAGGAGGAGGAGGAGGAGGTGAGGAGGACGAGGACGACGAGGAGGAGGATGGAGGAGGAGGAGGGAGGAGGGCAGAGGAGGAGGAGGAGGAGGAGGAGGAGGAGGAGTGAGGAGGAGGAGGAGGAGGGGGGAGGAGGAGGACAGAGGACAGAGGAGGAGGAGGAAAAGACGAGGAGGAGGAGGAGGACAGAGGAGGAGGAGGAGGAGGAGGAGGAGGAGGAGGAGGAGAGCAGGAGCAGGAGGACAGAGGAGGAGGAGGAGGAGGAGGACGAAGGGGGGGCCGGACGGGGGTAGGCTTCGGGGGGGGGGGGGGGCGCGGCGGGCCTTCGTCGCCCTCCGCGGCCTCGGCCGGAGCGGAGCACGCTCCTCCGGGGGCGGCGGCAGGGGGGAGGGGCGGGGCGAGGCACAGCGGGGGGTGCGGTGCGGCGGGGGGGGGGGGGGGGGGGGGGGGGACCGGGGCGGGGAGGGGGAGGAGGGGGGGGGGAGGGGAGGGGGGGGGGGGCGGGGAGGAGGATGACGGGGAGAGGAGGGGGACGAGAGGAGGGAATGGGGAGGTGGGAGGGGGGTGCGGCAGGGGGGGAGGGGACGGGGCGGAGGGGGGGGCGCGGCGGGGGCTGCGGGGGCAGGCAGGGAGGGGACGGGGGCGGAAGGCTGGGTGGGGGGAAGACCCCGAGATCCCCCGGCGTGGCACGACTTTCGCCACGGGCGTCGTCTTCGCCCGCCTTCGGGCCCCGGTGCACCCTCTCGACAGCGGACAGAGACAGCGGGGCCTGGAGCGCCGGCGGTGCTTCGCGGCGACGTGGCCACTGTTTGGCCACGTCAGGTCCGAGGGGAGCGAGAGGAAGGCGGCATGCTCCCAGAGATGCGGTGATTCGGCAAAGAAAAAGAGGAGGAGGAGGGGGAGGAGGAGGAGGAGGAGGGGGAGGGATGGAGGAGGAGGAGGAGGAGGAGGAGGAGGAGGGAGGAGGAGGAGGAGGAGGGGAGGCCACGAATGCCATCCAGCCAGGCCCTTACACAGATATGTTCCTGGCCCGGGGCGCCGGGCGAGGCGACCCGCTGGATCACAATATAGCTAGTGCTGGGGCGCAATGCTGGGGGTGGGAACTCTCTCCCGCGCGTCCACGCTGGCCGAGCGGGAGGGGAGGAGGGGAACTGGGGGCGGACGGGGGAGGGGACGAGAGGACGGGGGGAGGGGACAAGGGGTGATAGGGGGGGAGCGAGGGGGAGGGGATAGAAGCGGAGGAACGAGGAGGGGGGAGGGGTGGGGCCCTCGGGGCTGGGCGTCAGAACCAACATCGCGACTGTGTTCTCTGGAGGCTTTCGAGGGTGTCAGTGGATCGTAGGGGCTTCTGGGGTGTGACGAGGAAGGGCGACGAAACAGGGGGAGGAGGGAGGAGGTTAGGTGGGACGAGGGAGGGAGGGAAGGAGAGGGATTGAGTAGGTTTCGATTGGCAGTTAGGGTTTCAATTGGGAGGTCCAGGCGGTCGTGTGGGAAATGGGGGGGAGAGAATCGTGGTGGCATACAAGGAGACACGGAGAAGGAAGGAGGGAGCAGAAGGAACAGAGGGCTGATGAACGGGGAGAAGAGTAAGGAACAGGGGAGAACAAGGGTGTCTGAAGGGTGACAAATTCCCTTTCGCGTCCTTGGCATATCCTGTGTTCTCCCCTCGCTGTCCGCCTCCCCCTGCCCCTGCTCCTCCTGCCGTCCTCCTCCTCCTCCTCCTTCTGGCCTTCCTGCTCCATCCTTCTATATAATCCTTGCCCCTCCTCTTCCGTCCCTACCACCTTCCTGCAATTCCGCCTCCTCCACCGCCTCATTCAAGCGCCCTGGTGGTTCGGCCACCCCGAGGGGCCAAGGAGCGGCCCCAGAACCGCGGGGAGCCCCCCCCCCTGGGTCAAAAAAGGCACCGAGCGACAGTTTCGCTACATGGCCTTCGGCTCAGGAGGCAACACATCACACACACACAGCGACTTCCAGAGGTCAGCGCGTACTCTCTCTGGAGTCACGCCGGGAGCGGGCTCCCACCAGCTCGGGGCGCGGGTGCGGTCAGCCCCCCTAACTGGCGGCGGTGGTGTTTTTGTTGGGGGAGTTCTCTCGAAGGCCGGGCTGACGGCGGTGTTGCTTAACGGTGATGTTGGGAACCAGAAGTGTAGGAAATCACGAACCACATTTTCCTACATGTCCTGTCTGCGAATGGATCGAGCGAACACGACACAGCGAATTGCAGGAAAGCGCGAAACACGCGTTCCCACAATACAGAAACTTACATCGCCGTTACCTACATCGCCGTTAGCCCGTCTACGGTCTCTGGTGAGCAATGAAACGGAGAGCCCCCCATCGAGAAATCGGTTACGGTGTCGTGGCGCGCGCGCGAGCGAGGCGAAGCTGCGTGGGCGGGCAGCGGGAATGACCCCGCCCTGGCGAGGGCTCTGTCGGGCATGTCCTCCTACAGGCGATGTTTGAAAACAACTATTTACTCTGCTACTGGAGTGCCCCACCTAAGGCTGAGGCGGGGCCTCCGCTGGACGGGTGGACGGGGCACGAAACCTGATACATCATACGGTATGCGAATGCTGTCCTCGCTCAGGCGGGGCCTCCCTGGACGGGTGGGAGGGGCA